CAACTCTCATGAACTTATTTCTTTAAACCTCTTTTTTCCGTGCGCTACTTTTTCTGAACAAGATTTCCAGACGATTATTATATAGTTGTACCCTCGAGGAGTTTTCTCGTGTCTCCTAAACCCATTTTTCGGGCTCATTACTTCATTCCACGATGTGGATAGGGCCAAGCGGAGCCTAATTCGTACTTCCTGGCGAACTCACATTTTATTATTTTTCTTTCCTCTTTATTTGTTTTTTTTTTTCGAAGGGAGTGACGACACAAGGATACATCAAGAAGTAACATAAAAAATCACATTCATCAAGACGTACCACAAGAGTGTAGCAAAACACGATTACTACAATCGAGCACCAGGAAAGAATATTTCAAGATAACCACTCGAGAACAAATAAGGGACAAACCAATTCCGTGAATTCAATGTGGGTGCCTATGTCAACAAACCATTATTTAATTTAGGAAACTGTTATCCAAATTATCAAGTACATAAGGCACGATAATAAAAAATGAAACCATTCAACATTCTAAACTCACAAATAGCCATTTCGATCAAAAATTAAGCTTCACATGGTAGAGTTTGACACAAACACATAAGAACTAAAATAAAAACCAGTCCAAGACGCACAAACCAAAAACATAGAACACCTAAAACAAAAGAACCACTACATAAGCATTCATAATCAAGAAAAGTCCTCCCTCACACTTCAAACAACACAATATCCTCATTTCTTGACCAAAAAGTACATAGAAGGAAAACATAATCACACAAGCTATGCAATGAACACAACTAAACACAACAAACGAAAGAAAGGAAAACAAGCACGAAAATACAAGAGAAAGAACTAAAAGAAAGAGAAAATAAGGAAAAGAAAACGTATACTCTACATGGTGATGCATCACCGTGTGTCCAATGGTGTTTCGTCTAGTGGGAAGGAAGAAATTGGCCTAAAGGCCCCCTCCTAGTCAAAAAATGATATCATCCAAACGGTTGTACGTGGCATGCATGTCGCCTCATATGCCATCCAAGTGAATTGTCATTTGAAATCATGATGAAGAGTCATGACTACAGTCCTGTCGGCTTCGTTCAAGGTCAACTTGTTTGCATCTCGGAGGAATGATGTTAATTCAAAAAATTCAAAAATCTGGCCTGCGACCGCCAATGTTTCTATCCTTTAGGCCTTGACACGGACAACTTTTTCTTCAAAGGCATGATCAGTAAATAATATTAGGCCATCTCCTTAACAAACAATCTTTAACTCGGGCTACCTTGACAACCACTTCAACAAAAATTTAGCATGCCTGACAAGATGTGCCTAACACAATCGAAGAACACCTCAATCATGCAAGACCCCAAACCACAACTCGACTCACCAACACCACTACTCCGGCAAGAGGAGTATTCCACACTATCCCCAATAACCAAAGACGAGAATTCGATCCTAACATGTTACCTTGAAGCTCACCGGAAAAATTTGATGTTGGATTGTTGAAAGAGAGACATATGCAAGGCTCGGAGCTCCAGTTGCCAAAAAATGAATCACCCATAAAGAATCGTGAGGGTTGCTAAGAAAACGGCGAGCTTCGGTGGCTTGGTGAATAAATTTTGGCCAAAAAAATGGTTGCTGGAAAAGTTCGTCGGTTCCGACAAAGGTGGTCGTCTCCAGGTGTGCCTTGGTGAGAGGATTTTGGAGGTGTCCTTGGATTTTTGTGGGCCACCAGGAGTCATCGGTAATTTGGAGAAGAAGACTGGAGTTTGACTTCGAGTTCTTAGATCTAGAAAAGTTGACCGGCTCAATAGCAGGTTGTCTTGCCAGAATTTTTGCTTGATTTTCGAATATGTTGTTGGTGCCGAGAAGAGCTTCAAGATGATGTAAAAATTTTTGGGATCGAACAAAGTCGGCCGGTGGCGACGGCAACTTGGGGAGGGAAATTTCTAGAGAGAGAGAAGGTAAATGAAGAGAATTAGGGTTGCAAAACACCATAAGCTTTTCGCAGACGCGTCAAAATGCACGACCCGCGAAACATCACCCGCTGGGTCACGGGCGAGACCAGTCTCACTCATTCGCGAGCGGAAGCTCAGAGCGCAGGACTTTGGAGCTAAAGGGAGTAGGTCGAATGTCTCGCGGTACAAGGCGTTCTGCATCCGCATGAGCGTTGCCTCGCGAGGTCACGAGGTGAGGCTTGCGCACGACTTGGAGTTCGCCGGGTCGCGAGACGCACTCGCGTCACGAGTCATCATGGCAGAAGGGGCGGGCTGCTCATCTCACTGTGTAGGGTGCCTCGCGATCGCGCGAGCGTGTCTTCACTGGGTCGCGGAACAAGGCTCGCGTGCGAGTTGGGAGTTGCGGGTTGCAAGATCTAACTGGGGTCGCGAGCGGGTCTCCTAGCTGNTGCATTGCTCATCGAAAACGTGACCATCTCTCCTAGAGCCGAGAGGGTAACTCGGTCGTCCTTGACATCGATAAGTGTGTTAGTCGTTGCTATGAAGGGTCGTCCAATCAAAATTGTGTGATCATTCCCTGTGTTCGGGACTTCTCCTACGTCAAGGACAACAAAATCCACTGGTACCACAATAGTCCCATCATTAACCAATACATTCTCAATAATGCCCTTCAGATCTCTCAACGTTCTATCCACAAGTTGTGGGCACATCCGTGTCGACTTAAGACTTTGCAACCCCAATTGTTTATAGATCGAATAAGGCATGAGATTGATATCGGCCCCAAAATCAAGCATTCCGGTCGTCGCCATTCTATTCCCAAATGTGATCTTAATGACAAAGCCTCCCGGATCGCATTCTTTCCGAGGTATGGTGGTGGATGTCACCTCAGAAATCATGACTTTTTCATTGTCCTCACATCTCCTTTTCTTTGATGCTAGATCCTTGAAGAATTGCAAATATGTTGTCATGTTTCGGATATCATCTAGGGGTGGGAGATTCACATTCACCTTAGAGAGCATATTAAACAGATCTCTAAACTGACGATTCTTCTTTGTATCTTGTAGACGACTCGGATAAGGGACCGGTGGTCCGTAAAGTTTGACCGTCTTATGTAAAGTCTCAATTGTATCCTCCTTCGGATTTGCCTTCTCCTTTTTTTTTGTTCATATCAACCTTTTCTTTTGATGCTTCGTCCTCCTTTTTCGGTTCTACATCATCCTCATTCTCAACGCTCATCTCCACCTCATCTTCTTTGGTCATCTCCTCTTGGTTATCCACCTCCTTTTCACTCCTCAAAACCGTTATGGCATTGACATGTTCGGGTTGGTTCGAGAACTTATCATTCATCTTCCTTCTTTTAATTTTGCCTATAAATGTCCCTAGTTGTCCCATTTGAGTCTCTAAGCATTTAAGAGAAGCGTGGATTGAAGGTACGCCCTTAACCGCATCATGAAGGGTGAAAACGGTGGCTCGAGACATTTTTTTTTTCTTTTTGCATATTCTTGCAATTCATTCTTGGTAGTTTTTGTCTAATTTTTGCATTTTCATTCATATAATGCTTCATTTTTATAATTAGTGGATGTTTTTTCATGTACTCATTTCTATCAAGACTTTCAAATATTATTATTATTATTTAAAAATCATGTTTTTTCAAATTTTAAACATTTGAAATATTTCATAATGTAATGTATTTATTTTAATTGATTATTAAAAATAATAATCCAAAATTTGAATAAACTATATAAATATATAATTTAAAATTACAAAATAATAGTAATTATGCATCCCACATACACTTTACTAGTTTGTTAAAACAGAGTGCCTAAATCTTGTTTGCTAGTGCTCGTGTAATTATAAACAAGAGTAAACTACTTTTTACCGGCCTCAATACATGTTCAAATGATACTTTTTTCAAAAGAAATAAGTAAATGAATAAATCTTACGATTACGATGGTGTTAAACTAATGATCGACTTTTGACCATGTTCCTTGGAAGCCTACTTATGCAAACCACCATAAAGAGAGCTTGCAATGAACATGTTTCTTGGAAGTCTAATTATGCAAATCACCAAGAGCCTTCAATGAACATGTTTTTTGGTTGGGCTGATTGGGTGTGATATCACATTAATTATTATTATATCCATGAGTTTATTGTGATTGGTTGAACTGCTCTTGGCCCTAAAAAATGACCATGTCTCGGTCAATTATCACTCAACTTGTTTATATGCTATTCGGCCCTCACGTTGGAATACCCTATCCATACTCCCTCAAAATAAAAGTTCCCAAAATATTCCAAAATTTTCTTTTTTCTTTTTCTTTCATTCGTTCTTCCATCTTCTTGCTGTTCTCTCATTCTCCTCCTTCTTCTTCTTCTTTTTGTTTTTTGTTTTNTCTTCTTCTTTTTGTTTTTTTTTTTTTTTTTTCATAAAGCAACAACCAAGAGACTTCAGTTCGGATTTGGTGGATTCGTGTTCCATCGAGCAGGTCGTCGGCGGAGTAGAAGAAGGCCTCGGCGTCCTGAAGCCAGAGGCGGCAGGCCCCGTCGCCGGAAAGTAGCGGCTCGAACAAGCGGTACTCCGTCGCTTGGGAACTTTTTAATCAGATTTGCGATTTGGGAACTTTTGAATTTTTATCGAATTTGAACCATTAGTTATGTTGTTTGCGATTTGGGAACTTTTAATCAATTTGACTCATCTACTCACACGGTGATTGCCATTTGGAGTTGTACTACATTATTTCCCAGATTTTGTTAAAGATATTTTAATTTATGTAAAAGCTTTTGTTGAAGAAATTTAATTTATGTAAAAATTTATATTGGAGATGAAGGGCAAACGCCAGAAAATTTAATTTTAAAAAGAGGATAAAAAAGTAATATTAACAAAAAGCTATACTTATCAATTATGAATCAAACAAGTTAATATACCTTTTTCATCAAAGGATATCACTCAACTTTTTTTATGGGAAATAATCAAATCTCAATCAATTAACCAAACTCACCCTGAAAGTACACAAAAGTTTTTACAACGTTCTATCAACAGTAGAGATTTACGCTCGAAATCTTTGGCAAAGTGCAATAGCAGAAAGGTAGTACCCACAATAATATAATTAGTAATAATTTGAATAAGGATAGTTTTATGTAACAATTTTTCAGAACTGACAGTGCACGACATATATACAGTGAACCATCCATCACACTAGCCAGCTACAGAAGGGCAGTGGCAGGCCACATTTGCTCACCTCAAAAAATGGACACAGTACTATAAATGACTTTTTGCTGTTTGATAATGTGTCTACCACACAAAATATCTGAGGGAGTCTCACTTGTTTTTCTTTCCACCAGACAGAATACGCTGAATCTGCAAACCCCTGCTGAAGGCCTGGTTGAAAAGCAGCCTCGTCTGGAACTCAGACACAAATGGGAACCAGGCCAAAATAGCAACTGGAGCAAATATGATCAAACCCATTATGTACTCATAACCTCTTGCCAGTGCTTTCACAGATCCCCATGCTCCCAATCCCTTCGCTATGGGCCTGCAAGCTTGTGCTATCTGCATTGGTCAACAATGCCACGGAGCATGAGTGTTGTTGTTGTAATAATAATAATAATAATAATTTATTATTTCTTATTTTTTGGTGTTTGCAAACGCTCGTGTAGACTAGTATAAGCAATGCCTTTTGAATCGAATTTGAGGAAAAGAAGTGCGTGCCTGCAAAAGTGCCCATCCGGTCGGCAAGAAGCCCAATAAGCAAGCGAAAATGTCACCAACAGTGAGCTCCAGGAACTTTATGGAGACGAATAGTATGACAATGAAGGAGATGAAAAGGAATAGCTTCAGAAGCCGGAAAAGCAGCTGGAAGTCAGCACCCAACTTTTGCCTCCCCATGGACACAATCTGCGGACCAGAGTCATCAAATGAGGTTCAACAGGACAAACGAGTAAAAATGAGTTCACAGAGAGGGGGATTTTGGCAATTACCTTCAAAATGACTACCACAGCAACAATGACCAGCCAAGACAAACCATAAACCTGTAATCATGGAAAAAACCAGAGTTACTACACGTATTTATTAGAGTAAAAAGTAATAAAATTGAAAAATCCGATTCTCTCATCTCAAAATTGCAAATACCAAAACTCAAAGTGTTACAAAAACATTTTTGTAGAAGATGGTATGTGAAATTTTAGAAAGCAATAGCCCCTGTGTGATTAATCTGCACCTCAGAGGTAGTTTGTCGACGAAATTAACCTACCCATGTTAACATCTGAATAAACTACAGGTAAAAGAAAAAATACGAATCTACACAAAAAGAGACACTCACCATAATGCTCTTGTCATTCTGTGCTGCACGCAGCTGATAAACGATCCCATACTGGTACACGAAGAACCTAAGAGAGAGAAGAATCTCCAAAAACCTCCCGAGCAATCCTGTGCACTGAAGATGCTCTTGCTCCTCGGCCCACCAAGACTCCCAGCTCTTGGTCGCTGGCACACCAATTCCCCCCTGGCTGCTCATCCACTTGGCCCAGTCCTCAAAGTCATCCACTATCTTCTGCCACTCGAAGCCAGACGGGTTAAACAGAAAGGGCGCAAAAAGCCACGAGACCACGAGGAACCACATCGAGAATGTCACAAACACATAAGCTGTGGTGTCGCCAGCCGAGCCGTACGCCTGGTACACCACGAGCAAGACCATGAGCTCGAGTGCCTTTGTGAAGTGGCTCCTCGAGTACATCCTGTAGTTCTCGGCAAACTTCTCGTGCCTCACGACAAAGCCGCGGCCCGTGGCCCGATACTTGGCCCCGCCATGGAGGATGGTGCGGCCGAAGTAGTGGAGCTTGGTGCCGAGGGAGAAGGTGAAGAAAACGGAGGCTAGCTGGAGCTGCATGATGATGATGTCGCTGGCCGCCGTGCGGAAGCCTCTCTCGAGGCCGATCTCCATTACCATTGGGAGGGCCATGAGGAAGCCGAGCTGGACGATCGACTGTGAGGCCATCACCACGCTTAGAGCATCGTCTCCCTTGGACTTGGCAAAGTGGACGATGCTCTCCTCGAGCCCACTCAGGCTCAGGTAGAGTTTGCCGTAAAGGTACGTGTACACCGTCAGGACCACCAACTGCATCCAATCCAATCATTGTCAGATTTAGAGGGTGATTGTTTATGAATTCATCTAGCAATTAATTGGTTTTTATTTTAACTATAGTTAATTTTGAAAAAAAGTTGGTATGGTTAGTTGTTAGTGGATATATTAAAATAATATTTAAAATAAAATAATTAAAATTGATATGATGTAAAAGTAAGCGAAAAATGATTGGAAGTGGTGGTTAGTTAAAATTATGTGAGTGGATGAATAGTGAATTAAAGTTGATGTGATGTGTAAGAATGATTGGTTGATATTATTTAATTATATTGATAATATTGGAGATAGTGGAGTTGGGTTAAAGTTGAGTTAAATTTGAGTTTTGATTGATTTTTTTTAAGTGAATTGATAAACAATCACTACCTTAGCAATTGTACTTTACAACTTAATAATTCAATTCTTCAAACACAACACATTACCATTGAGCTGACGTAGAACCCTATGGTTGTATAGTAACACGATAGCATGCGGAAGAAGTCGAAACGGTGCCCCAATCTGTAGATATCACGGCTCAGTGTCTGTTCTCCGTTACCACATGCAACTTTGGCCTCAAAAAGTGAGATCTGATTCAGACCCACGTCACGTCCCTTCCCGACTTGAATATATTCGTGATGAGTAACATTTCCACGTCTCAGAGTTGTATTAAAACCTTCATTCGGGTGGTAAAACTGAGATTTAGGAACTGACTCGTACCCTAAACTTTCTTTGGTTAAACAAGGGTTAGTCAATAAGATGATCTCACCAGCGAAAATATCCTCACTAAGATTGATTCCTCGTGAAGCTTTGCTGATGCCACCACGTGTCATATGGAAAATTCTGTCAAAAACGTCCGGATGTCCATAATGGAATCTCACCCTGCACGATTAGAAAGAAGAAGACATGGGGATCACGTGAAAGCTATGATTAGCATCTTGGCTTGACCATCAATAACAGCCCCATAACTAATCAATGTGGAACAAGTGGAACAAACATAACCTTTAACAATTAACTAAAATTGCATAGCAGAGTAGAAGAAATTTGATACGCGAAAAAAGGCTATTGATTTTCCAAGTAATGCCAGATTGATTTTGGTTCGTAACACTCAACAGTGTTCAGTAGTTTATACATTGTTTGCATGAAAATTAAGCTTTTCAATATGAAATTCCACTATATTTCTAGTACTAATAATCATTGCAATTGGCATCTTCCAAATGCAAGTGACAGCATGGGAACACAATATATTGGTTCTTAGCCTATCATCAACAGAATAAACTAGGAGATAAATATTTGGCGATGTATTTAAGATGGAAACAAACGTACTTCAGAGGTCTTGAAAGAACTCTCTGGCCAATGGTGACAAAACTTGTTTCTTGATTTGACATAAACCAAGCCAATGATGACACACTGCAGTTGGCAATGCAAAATCAGAGACAGCTAAACCTGAAAAATTAAACCAAACTGATAACAAGTTAACTATATCTACCTTCCAGTGAAAATATGCTCACGAACACCTAGGATTGTAGGTGGACGCACCCCATGATCCTCGTTAAATTCCTCAAGTAGGTTGCGCATCTTAAAAGCTTCCTCCAAATAGTTGTCCTAGGAAAAGAATATTTAATTAAGTTAGCTTTAACCAAATTCTTCAATCAATTTGATGATTAGAGTTCTTCAAGTTACCTGATTCATGTCAATGGTCTGAAGAGCCTCCCCACGCGTGAAGATAATAGCATGGTTTTGATTTTCAGGTTTCCCTTCTCCTATCTTTGCGGACCCGGGCAATTTTATACGGTATATTTCCTTCACAAAAGAGAAATTTAATCAAGGCTGGGGCTGGGCATGAATAAATCGCTTATCTTATTCGGAATTAAAAACTAATGTTACCTGATCAAGATTGTCAACAGCTTTTACCAATACAGAGTAATACACCTTTTGGTTTTTCCCACCTTCCCTTTCCTCAACTTCATCAATATATGCAACGCGAAGAGATGGATTGCTGAAAAAGAAAATAGATGGAGTTTGCAGTTAGAAAACCCCATTTGCCTACATGATTCAGAGTGCTGCAGATTTTTTCAACGTGACAAAATTGTGCAACTTACTTAACCATAAGATTTAAAATGTCTGTCGCACGACGATCTCCACTTCGTTTCTGGTTCCCATAGTTTTGACAGGTGGCGACATATGTGAATTTCATGTCAGCCACGGCCTCTAATTGAGTATACATGGATCTCTGACTCTTCTTATCTTCTGCTGATGGTTCTGTAATGGTTTTGTATCCTTCAAGTATCTCTGTTCCATTTAGACAAAATCTGTCAGAAGAAAAACCACTAGAGTACCTCTTAAAACTGCGTTAACAGTAGCTTCTCTGAGTATAAGGTTCAGTCATAGTGACTTTGATTGTTCACATTGGATTTCAGATGTCAGGCAGAAAAGAAAATAGAAAAAAACAAAATTCACTCCTTCACTTCTGAATGCTGTAGTTTTTTCCGTGAAACACAGAGTATATAGACATTAATTTATGTAGAACATGGAGGTTTTTTTTACATTACAACTGTAAGCATGCTCCTTCAGTAAATTGTAAAGGCCCTCTCTTACCATCTTCTGTAGCCATATCAAGAAAAGCCTGAAGTTTCAAGGCCCTTCGGTAATACATCATGCCTCTGACTGCATGGTCCATAGATTTTGTCAGACAATACAGTTAATATTGGGTGATCATGAACACAAGGCCCAAAAGAACTCAATTAACCTGTTCTGCAAAGGGTCTGTCCTCTCAAGGATGCCCAGTGGCGTAGTTGTAGTATGTTTTCTTCATTTTCCCAAATTTCAGATTCCTTGCAGTTTAGACGCTCCATGAAATTGTTCCATTCATCTGAATGAAGAATTTATATGAATTTTAGTAGTGTATACATAAGTTGAGTAATCTTTACAATTCAAAGAATGTTGCTGAGACTGAATCTCAGATTGGACAAGTGATGCAGACCGGGGAATATCTTTTGAAGGTAATATAGGATAGACACGCCATCTTCATTTTCCATTTCAAGGTCACTTTTGGAGTAGACAGTCTCCTCGCTGTAGTATGGGGTCATTACACTACAAATTCCAATTGACAAGGCTATTAATTGAGAATTTTTGTTCTTGTAAAGAAACAAGCTAAATTTTGTAGAATATGTAATGATGATGTTAGTTAAACTAAAGGCCAATATTTTCCTCCATAGTGGCTAAGCCTCATGCTACTTTTGTTAAATAAGCTAACGATGTATGACAAATACAATATATTTGCACCTGAATGACAACATTTTGCGAACCCGAGGTGCACGTGGCATATCCATAAAGAGTGAATTGGAGAAGAATGCTATCCTTCTACGTGCTTCGAGGTTTGTTGGGACATCAACTGCGGATTCTTTAACAGTAAGAAGCAAATAGAGGCGTCGTATCTGTGTGACAAGCACATAAAGCGGTTATTCAAATTTCTATCTTTTCCAGCACAGCAAGATGTTTCTAGTTTGCTGCATATATAGAATATTTAAGTGAAAGCATATTTCCACGTACTTGTTCTTCCCATTGTGCGGTATTTGGGGGAGGGAAGTTAATGCTAGCAAAAAGTTGATTTCCAACTTGACCAAGCTCGGCAAGTTCACTTCATCGAAGGAACAAAATTTGCAGAACTTAATCAGATAAGAGTAGTCTAAAAAAAAAAAAAGAAAAAAATGTATATGGTGGATTAGATGATGCACCACTCTACTACTTACCGGGTCTCATTCACCATCATGTCACGGGTAACTACTTCTAACATATCTTGCATCAGTAAAACAACTCTATCTTTCTTGGATGGATCACTCTCTTTCTGCAAGGTTAAAAAATAAGCTCAGTTGCCTAGAAATGTAACATGAAAGTAAAATCTGTACACATGACTTTACCAATATCTCCACAAGCTCCACAAATTTCTTGAAAAGACCAGGTAAGTGCTTCATTCTGAAATTTGCAAGTAGAGTGCCCTTTGACATGTTGCTTTCTATTTCTTTGATGATGGTTCCAATGACCCTGTTCCACGATGCCAAACTTAGAAAGAAGCCAAACGATATAAAAATCCCAAAGACTTCTGAATATTACAAGTCTACACTAGAATTACGAAATATGAGAAAGTTTTTGTACTATATGATACGAAACCAAATTTACTTTTCAGTACCTTTCAAGTTAATGCATACTAGTAGCAGTACAACACCCATATAATATGCGGAAATTAATTTAAAATTAGTACTTAAGAATTTAAAGAAGAAATAAAAGAAGAAAAAAAATATTTTAAGTTTGTAATACCTTTTTAAAAAATACATTAGTAGTTATTATCATTTAAAAATGTAACTCGTCAAGCGTAAGACTTACACATAACGACACACAAAAACACACATTGATATCAAATTGAAAATCGCTAAAAGATGATCAATTTGATATATCATATATGAAAAGCTGAAACAAAATAAAAAGGTTATTATGTTTTAGAATAAATATAAGTTAAGCAAATGTTTTATAATTTTAAAAGTACTAACATGCATGGATAAAAATCCAGACCTACATGGACTGCTGCAAAGCACTAGAATTGACACATATGATTAAGAACCACAAGAAATTGACTTACTAAGCACCAAAAGTTAAATCTTGAGCACGGGAAACTGTGCATTTACATATAAGGAGGGATTTATGGAAGTACTTGAGAAATAAGTGAAGTGGTGAAGAATGAATAATAAGACCACAAATATCTCAAATATAATAGTTTACTAAGTAAATCCTACATCATGAACATCGAAAAAAATGCCATTGCCATGTAGCAGAAGTATAGAGATAGCATTGACTACAATAAGTACTCAGACACACTACATCTATTGGAGTAACAGAAGTAAAGCATGCACGCAGAACTGATTTTAGAACCCTGTAGCATTAGCATAATTAATTTAAACTTCATTGCAAACATGGTTAAACATTCTGATAGTATCGTAAATAATGTAGCTGTCTCATTTTATGACGAAAAGATAACCTTTTCTCCGTCTCTCGGACTATCAAGGCATTCAGAACATGTTTAAATGACTCATAGCATTCAGTTACAGCACACTTCATATACTCATCAGCACGTATTCGCTTCCAGAGGTCAGCATCCTTCGACCGGAATTGAACAGCCATATCTAGTGCTATTGGAATCTACAAGGCAGAGGGTTAAATAAAAGAAAAGAAGAAGAAGAAACAGAGGAAGTGGGGACTATACAATCAGCTCTCAAGAAACTGTAAAATGCAAATCACCTTGCTGGCAAGCAGAAAAGGGGGCCACTGAATTATTTTCAGGCTAGGATCACACGAGTAAGGAACAAGAAGCAGATCCATCTCCCTGAAGTAAATAACCAAACTTTAGATACACTGTCTAGTATTTGTCAAATGAAAATTAAAGATAGGATAGTGCACGAATAATGATTAAGATTTGGGTCTTTTCCTGTCACTTATTAAGTCCTCTTCCCGGAAACTGCTAATCACGTCATTCCACAGCTGTGCAAACCTAGCAGCCTCACTTCTCCTATTTGCATTGACCTTCAGATGGTAATGTCAAGTTCAGAAATGTAACGACAGTTGACAGAATATGAGGGCATGAAAGCAAATAAAACACAGAGGGAGAGTGATAATAACCTTATTGTTTTTCGAATGGAAAAACCCTCTTCTTCTGGATTTGTCAGAAGGCACCAGGCTAGTGTTGAATGCAGCCGGTAATGACTGGAAACGAGACCTTAACATTGCAAGAGTTCGGATCTGTGAAAAGACATGATGTGATCAAGTAACTAAATGCAAAAATAAAGGAATGATCCTACCACTAAATGATGCAGAACTTTCAGACCATTATGATAGAGAATAAAAAGTTTCAGTTATAGCTAACATAAATGCTACGAAAAAGTAACTCTTTAACTTGGTGGTGTTTGTATTTTATTTCCTGCTGCCACTAGCAACAAGTTAAGTTGTTGAAGCTCAGCACGTGTTCTTTGCATTGTTTGCAAGTCAAAATGGGTATGAGAAAATCATGTCGAACAAAAGATGATGACAAAAGAGATAACATAATGTGCAACGCAGTTAACTGAAAAAGCCATAAATAAATGATACTATAATCAGTTGAACTTTTTAGGGGTTTCCTACCTCACCGAGACGATCAAAAGCACCTATAAAGCCTCCATACAAGGTAGAGAATACAGAATACCAAATCTGAAGGTCCAAGAAGTAAACCTGCAGTAGAATTGTCATAAATATAAAGTAAGTAGGTTACAGAATCTTATAGAACCCAAAATTGCTATCACAAGAAAGCGCACCATAATAACTGGTGCCCACAGTGCAACAACAGCTCCATAGTTGTTCCTAGCTGCACAGTATATAAGATTATTGGTATGACTATAGAGTAGAGAAGATGATTCTGGAAAAGAAGAAAATTTAAACGAATTAAGTGTGTACCGTTAGGAAAGAATTCGTGCCAAGCATAATCAACATGGTGAATGTTCATTATGTCCTGAGTGGGTTTGACCAGAGGTTTTATCTGAACAAAAGAAAGA